AATATTTATATTATATTTATATATATATATATATATATATATATATGGATATGGATGCATTTACACACCAATCTGGATGACAAGCTGATACCTAACAGGGATAGCGGGTTGCATTCAGTCAAATGTCAGGTCTTTTTTCACACAGTTCTCCCTGTTGACAAGTGCCTGACCTCTAGAACACTTTGACAACAATGTATCTGGTGTCTTTTCTCACAAATCTCACACTAATACTTGCTCAAACAGTGTGACATTCTTTACAATTATCAACGTCATTATAATATGTAAAAGGAAAAGAAAAAAATATATTTAAAATATGAATTTATCACATTCAGAACAAAAAATAAAGTATTTTTGGTGGTCAGGTTGTTTTGTTTTGTGATCTTTGTACAAGTTGTTTGTTTGTTGTTTTTTTTTTTTTTTTTACAGTGATGTTCACCCTGTACAAGGCCCAAGAGTCACTCAAGGTAGAGAGTTATAGAGAAAGAGGTATAGATTATGTAAATATGTGGGGAAGATACCTGTTAACCCTAGATTTGAACAGGTTAAGATTGTATCAAGTGGAAAAGTATCCTCTTGGGAGTCAGTTTCACAAAGCAGCAATTCATGGGAAGAAGCTGCTCAGGTGGATTATGAAGTGAACGAGGGAGGTTTGCCGCAATGGGCGTGGCATGGTGGGTCTTAGCCATAAAGATTAGAACTGGTGGAACTAAGGAATGTAGTCCATCTGAACACTTTCCATAGAAATGAAAATAGAGTAGCAAGAGGCTTGCAATGTTTCATCTGTGAGAAAAGAGTGGTGGGGGGAGAATAATTCATTACCCACAAGGATGCAGAGACATTCTTGGACTATATCAAGACTGTAAATGGATTTGTTACTCTTGCATTGTGTAAACAACAGTGTAAAAATAAATATAGAATATTTAAGTTTTCCATTTTGGTAATTGTTACAGGAATAAGAATAGTCTATACAGAAAATTTTAAATTTGGAAGTATAGTTAACATATTCAATAAGTGTATATATATTCTGTTAATAATACAATATTCTTGAAGAACGCTATCACAAAAAACTTTTAGTCAGACATAGATAAGTATTGTGAACTCCTTAATTATTAATAATACTAAAGATAGATAATGGGAAAGAGATATTTTTATATAAATTGTTCAGATTAATTTTCTGTTTTTCGTCAAAAGTGCTCCTATGCTAGACAGATACATCAAAGTAAGTGCCTCACTGAAAAAGAATCATAACCAAGAAATGCATGTACAACATTTCATGCAGTTGCTGCAGAGAGTAGAAAAGACTAGCTACAACCTAAAAATAAAACTTGAGGAACATCAAAAGGGTTGTAATTTGTAGCAACACTTTAAAACTGGTGTGGCTGACCATACATGGTGGGAGAAGGAGGCAAACCAATCTTTATGGTTAGCAGTTAAAATATTAAACAGAGAGGAGAACGAAGTAATAAGTTTGAAAGAATTTGCACACAGGTCACCGATTTAGCAGACCGAACGGAGACATTAATAGTTTATGGGAACAAATTATGAATTTGAAGTTCTAGCAGCATAACACAAGAATTGGAAAATTGAAAAAGTTCAATAGGTTCATTAGAAGGTCACAATTTCAGTGCCTCTGTCAGGAAAAAAAAATCCACAATTCTCACAGGGTCAGGCTCTAGATGTGATATGCATCAGAGAAAGTGCAAGGCCACCTTTAGTGCAAAATGCAACATTCCAAAACACAGCAGACACACAAGAAAGAGCAGAGGGTGTGTGGCTGAAATATTATAAGACACCACAATCCTGCCAAATATATATTCAATATACTGTGTCCTTTCAGTTTATGGGTAGTCACGGCTCTCTACAACTTCCTATCTTTTGCAGCTCTGTTAGGTTTGTCTTTTCAGCATCCCTACCTGTCCCTGTTCTAACATCTTATTAGGTTCTTTACCTCTGTCTCTCTTGCCTTCAATCTGTCCTGTGAGTATCATATTTTCCAAGCCCTCTTTCTTCATTATGCGCCCTAGACATTTCAATTTTGTATCTGATTCTAAGTATGATGTGTCTTTTTTGCTTCCATTTTCCTTAAAATTTCATTACTCACATGTTCAGTCCATGGGATTCTCAGCATCCTTCTGTATTTTGATTGCTAAAAGCCTTTTCATGCGTTAGTAAATTCCTGTCAAACTGATGAAAATTGTTTTTTGTATTTTTTAAATTGGTATCACCCCAAGCAAGGCAGTACAACTATCAGCACAAAAGGGGTTACAGGGTGTGGGGGAATCAGGAACAGAAACATTAATAATGAGTAGATAGAGAAAAGAGTAACGAGAAGGACAGTAGATAGCAAATGACATTGCATTTAAATTTTGGCAGATTAAACTTGGCTGGAAATCATGGCGCCAGAAGGGAGTTCCCCAAATGAGAAGTGTGAGATAAGAAACTATCAGCATAGAAGTTACAGCTTCATCTAGCTAGCTCAACTTTAAATTGATGAGACCTAGCTGCCAATCTAGTATTGCACTTAAATTCATACAGTCTAGGTACGATAATCAAGAGGTCATCCAAACAATTACCATGAAAGTATTTATAAAAAAAACACAGAGAGGCAACCTTACAGCAGTGGGCAAGTGACTGAAGCCAAACCACCAGATCAGGACCAATAATATTGCTGATTCTTCTTTGGATTTTATGAGGGAGCTCCAGGTAAATAGCAGGGGCACTGGACCATATTTGGCAGCAATATTCTAAGCATAGACGAATGGTAGATATATAAATATGCAAGATAGATTCTGGAAAAAAAAATTGCCTCACCCGACACAGTTAACTGACTTTCTTGGCAGATGACCTAGCAATGGATTCAGTGTAGTTTTTCCACTTTTGTCAGCTGAGAATGCTAGCTCAAGAAGGTGCAACAAGTAACTTTACTGGAGGATAGCATCAGCCATGCTGATGGAAGGCAGAGAGAGAGGGTCTCCCAGATGACAAATGAAAAGAAGTTTAGCTTTGGGAGCGTTAAAATTGACAAGCCATCTTTTGCCCAAGTTAACAATGATCTTGTTGTTATTTTGGACACCAGCTGCCATTTTGACCTTGTCTGACTGATCAGCCTTACTAATGAGGCAGGAGTAAATGGTTGTGTCCTTAGCATAGATGCCAAGTTGAGAGCTGATGTCATCGGGAAGGTCATTAATGAAGATTAAAAACAGCGTAGTTCTACTACATTGCCCTGTCTTATCTCGCAACTTCACAAATAAGACCCTAAAATGTTTTTTTCCAGTCATTTTAGGAGAAAACAAAAGAAAAAAAATCAAACAGGTGCTATGGGATATGTAGTGTCATGTATATTGGTACAAAAATTGGCAATCTAGGTTCAAATTCCAGCTTAGTCAATTACATTCACTTTCACACCAATTCCTTTGAGAAAGGCATGAAATCATTTTTTCTCCACCGCAGGTATAGGTAAATAGCAGAGCATTATGGGCTGTCAGAAAGTTATTGCAGCCTATACACTAGAGTCCATATAAAGTAATAAAGCAGACCAATAAACATTTTACTGTGCAGAAAAATGTCAAAAATGATAGTTGCTATTGATAGGCTTAAACCTGCATCAGTAGAAAACAATCACACAGGCAAAGACCAACCGTGACGCTACAAAAAGAAATGACCAACAACAAACAGCTAGATCACAGCCAACCAACCACACCAAATATACAAACAGAATCTGGTTGGAAAATATCATTTCCAAGACACTTCAAGAACAACATTAAGTACAGACACATTGATGAATATTATTCACCATCAATCCAGAAAGCCGGGTTGTCATAACACTTTTGTCAGACATGCATGAATGATAAACCCTATTGGTGGAAGTAATCCCATATAAGCTTTTGGGCATGGTAAAAATATAAAACAGGGAGCATGCATACTGTTGACCTGAATAACTACTTCTTTCACCTAGATCTGACATTGCAACAGGACACAACAGTTGGTGCTCTGGGCAATAAATGCAACCCTGTCATAGTACATCTTTTGCTTTATTATTTACAGAGACTTAAGAATATTTCTTAAAATTTCGTCTACACGAAAGATGTTCTCAATAGAATGAATATTTCTATTTTGTTATCTCACTCTTTTGTTTGTCTATTTTCTCGACACTTAGTTTTTACTCAAAACACAGTTGTGAGTTTCTTTGTGTTAACATTATAGGCTCTTAAGTTTTTGTTAGCATCCATTCTAGGAGAGACACAACTTTGAATTCAAAACCATAAAGAAAATCAGAAATTACTCCACCGTTATTCTCAATAAGTTCAGGCAATTCAAAAAATAAAAATAGGAATTTGTGGGGAGCTATGATCATGCACATTCAGAAGGGAAGTGGGGAGAAAAACATCAGAAACTCCGAAAAGAAAAGTTTAGATTTTGCTAGACATCTTTCTTCCTTTTTAACTTTACTATCATTTCCAGTCTGTGCCACTAACAACAATTATGAAATGACAATGTTTTGTAATGTCAATGAATACTCGTCACTTTTGTAATGCTCATTGTAGTAGAGACTTTGTAGATACAACTATAGTACGCTGTTGAACAATACTGGTGTCAGACGTCTTCAAATATCATCCACACTAATAGTACTTGCTCAATAATACTCGCTTGAATAGTAATCCATGTAGTGATCCAAATAGAGAAATAGTAAGTGAACAGAGTAGAGAAATAGTTCAGACTAGAAATGGGGATCCATACAGTAATAGAAGATAGGCGAGGAATGGTGATCATTTATATATCACACGATTTCCTACATATATGTGTTTCCTCTATAGTCACGTAGTTTACTTAATTCAATAATGAGATCACCCGTGTTTGCTCACTGGCAATCTATGTTCAAACTCAAGTGTCGGCAGCAACATTTTATTCCTATATAACACAATGTAAGAGCAGTAATAAAAAGAACTCAGCTCTCTGATTTTCATTTCCAAGCCATAATCCCCAGCAACACATCCCAGCTTACAGTACCTGGTATTCCCAAGCAGTCACCCATCTAAGTACTACCTGGGCTCAACATTGCTTAACTTTGATGATTGTATGAGAACTACTGTTTCAATATGACCATAAGCCTGCAATTAGTTTAGTAAAAAGACAGCTCTGAATTTAAAACTGTAAGACCCTGACACTGCGATAGAGATACTTAAAGCAAGATCTGTTAGGTTTTGGCCAAAGTGCTTTATCAAGAATAGCTCGTTGGGCAAGTGTTGTACAATGATTCTTCTAATTGATTATGTAACTATTAAATTATTGCATTGGATATGCATGATGTCATCTTTTTCGTCAAGATATGGGAAATCTCATTTTTTTCATAACACTATCATAGTTTAGGAAGAAGATTTTAAAAATTAAATTTGACGTGCCAAACATAGGAACCTTGTATAGAAATTCATTATAGCATTAAAAAAAAAGACATAAGTATTTGGGATTTTGCTGTGCTTCACTTAATTATACCCATTTCTATTGCCATAATAAAATTCTGTGCCACTAACAAGATCATTTAGTTCTAGGTATGATGATAAACTACATCTGGCAGCAAGGTCTCTGATTGGGAGATTGGCAGTTTTGAAGAGCAGGGAACCACCTCTTAATTGCTGTTGTTCACAAGTCCACCCTGACCTGGGGTGGTAGCATCTGTTAGGGTCTCAGCTATAAGCAAATCGCAAACCCTCAAACAAAAACATTATGAAAGTATAAAAATAGATTTTTATATAAAAAAAAAATAACAATACATATTTATAGTTCAATTACCAACAATAAACTTTTAAATCAAAATAACTAGCAATACATTTTATATTAGAATTACCAACCAATTTTATAATAGGATTACTAACAACATATTTTATCTGTAGTTGAAAACATACATCAGTGTACAAAATATTTAGATTTCGGCATTAATAACCCATAGAAGTTAATATGCCACTAAAAACAAAGTCAACCAAACAAGATCATTGAAGATTTTATCTTCTATGTTAGTCATGAAGAAATAAGAAACATGTTTAGCTGCTACACCTTTGTGTGTGTGTGTATATATATATATATATATATATATATATATATATTTACATACGCTCTATCTCTAATATTGAGCACTTTATCCCATAAATATAGTACACCTTAAGACTATATTTCTTCATATATATATATATATATATATATATATATACACCCTTGTGCAAATTAATTGAAACAAAGCGAATAATTCCATTATTATTTACTTTTTTGTATTTTTCCAATGAAACATGACCCAGTGCGCATGTAAGTACTTCGTATGTCCATTCAACTAAGTCATTCTACGTCAGTTGACCACAGATTCTCGATTGGATTTAAATCAGGAAAGTTTCCAAGTCAGTCTATAGTACTTTGATTTGCTCACTGGTAAGGCTTGCCAGTGTGTGCAGCATTACAATTTTTGTACGCTTCCTTGGAGTAACGTTCATCACAGACAATGGTCATAGGACAAATAATCAACAGTGAAGACAATAGTGTCTGGGCATGATAAAAATCTGATGCAATCACAGATGATGCAATATTTTCAAAGCCAAACAAATTTTATCATACACCCTGAAAATAGATTCATATTACTTAATTCAGATTTTAAATATTGCATGCTTAAATACACTAAGACTTTCTCATGACTATGTCCTGACAAAATGGGAAGAAGATACGGGAATTTCCAATCCAATGTTTTAATAACATTACTATCATAGTTTAAGCACATGTTTTTAAAATATTATTACAAATTGTAAATATCAAAATCAAACAAGTACAAAAATTTTCAAGGAATTTTGTTTTAGGTGTTATTAGTTTTTCTTCATGTTTTGACTGTTTAAGTTTTATTTTATTTTTGTGTTGTTTGAATAGGAGTGTTTATTCCAAACCTTTGTCTGTTGAGCACAGCTGGAATTCAAGAGTGTCTTTCTATTTTTAAAAAAAAACTTAACACTCCATTCCCACTGTTAAATAAAGTGAGGTTGATAGTAGGAGAGAGATGTTTAATATATAAGGCCTCTCTTATAGCAAGATGTTTCTGATAATGTGATTTATATAGAATTTTAGTGTTTTTAACAAAATAAAAAATGAATTAAATTTTCCTTGTTTGCCATAGTTAATAAAGATACAAACGTGTGTGTGTTTGAAAGATTTTGTTTATTGCAAAAAAAAAAGAAAAAAGAAAGAAAAAGGTCAACCAGAGCATTGACATTTCACAGCATTACCTGAGCATTTTCAACACACACCTGAAATCTCTGAAATCACTATCATGCCAAACTTGCTACATAATGCCATGACAATTACTTTTCAAGTTTTCAGTTGTCTTTTAAAAATGCTCACATAAAATAGTGAAATGTTAATATATAAATAAAAAAAATTCCAACATCAAACTGGTTTTTTAGATATTCCATTTTTATAAAATAAAACTTATATAAAGAAAAATCTTTGCGATGAGCTCATAAAATAGGTGTGGCCATGTGGAATTATGTTAAGTCCAGGATGAACTGCATAATTCAGTTCATTCAAAAATTTATGTTTATATTATCATTTACTCATCCCAAACTAACACCAGTCGACAAATCTATATTTACACAAATACAAAAATCTGTCTTACACGTGACTGATACACAAAGCAAATCTTCTTTCATAAATCCTAATAAGTTTCACGTGATTTAGTTTCTTTATATAAACAATATTCATGGTTAACATAATCTAGAAGTAGCATTAACATTAACCAAATACTAGAAAAGTGGGGGGGGGAGGGAATTAATTAAAAATAACTGGATTAAGAGGGAAGATTAATGGTGTTACATTTGAATTGGGCAGACATTATGTTGAAGAATACAACAAAGTAGTACCCATAATAATTCAGAATATTATAATTACTTTTATTTTTATATGAATTATTGTCAAGTTAGCCATTGTTATCATTATTATTAATTCTGAATATTATTATTTTTTTTTTCACTCAGTCCATCTGGATTTGCTTGTAGCAGCTCAAGAAGTATGATTGGCATTTCAAGTTCATTCAAATTCCAACTGAGGTGGCTTACAACCACATCACATGGAAACACTGAAGTTAAGAAACATCGAGCCTGGTCTGTATCTATGTGGGTGACTTTTGGGGAATACCAAGTACTTTAAGCTTGGATGTGCAGTTGGTGTAATTGATAATGGCTTAGAATTGTTAATCAGAGAGTCGAGTTTCAATTCCATTTGGGTTCATTATGTTCACTTATGCACAAATATCTTTGGGAAAAGTATGAATCCACCTCTTCTCTCCCAGCTATGAGTTAATTAGCAAGATTTGTATCACTAAACCATTATTATCTCCAAAAATAAAATAAAATTGCTTACAAAATATTTAGATTTCGGAATTAAATTACCCATAGTGGTGTTGATATGCCACTAAACAAAGACAACTAACCAACACACAACAAAGTACCATCCTTAACAATTCCAAACATAATAATTACTTTTATACTTAGATAAATTATTATTATTATTATTATTATTATTCAGACTATCTGGATGTGTTTGTAGTAGCAGAGAAAGTAGTATAGGCACACCAAGTTCATTTACTTTTCCAGCTGAGGCCATAGGAAAAGTATGAATCTACTTCCCAGCTAGGATTTGATAGCAAAGCAGACTGGGCTATCTAGCCTTGGTTGGTAGCTAGTCTAGGAGAAGGACAACTGAATTCAAAACCAGCCTGAAGGAGGATAAGTTTCATCAAGCTATCTTGTCCTAGCCACCTCCAATGCTGCTACAGCTACAGTACACATGATCCACATTGAAATGGGTTATGGAACTCAATTGACAGATCAACTAAGGCTACCAATTAGTCTACAGTAATCAAACCGCATAGTTTAGTTATAATCTATATCTATAATTCTCAAAATGTGTGTGTGTGTGTATGCGTGATCGGATGTTGTTTATGCATTGCCACAGTTTGCATCTGATTTTGATGAAATTTCTTTCATTTGATAGATAATTCTTCAGTGCTGGTTTTGAGTCCAAATTGTTGGCAACAATGGCTCTCCACTACTTCCTGTCCATTGTAATTCTCAGCAACGTTTCACTATTTACTATCTGTTCTTGGATATATATCTTTCATAAAAACTTTAATAAAAATAAATTGTTTAAATTATTACAATATTATTTATTATTATACAGTTCCCTTTTCAGGGCAATTTCCACCCCCCATTCAAATTGTTAACCCCCAATTGGGGATATACCTCAGTTGTACCCAAATGTTGTTACTAATATTGATTTTCGGGTGGGCTGACTTTAAACTTAAACTGTTCCAATTGAACGGCAAAAATTCCCAATAATGAAAGACCCAGCTGAAGACAGGTTATACTGCTAGTAAATAATAAGTTCCCAGTGAGACTCAATCTTATCAAACTGTTAACTTACCACTCCACCTAAAACAAAAGATTGAAAGGTCACAACCATCAGTACTAGAAAGATCTATAATGGTGGTTCTTTTATGTCACATGTCCCTTCAGGACATTTGAAATCATGGCTCTACCAAATTCCCTGTTCTTTGTGACCCTTAATAAATTTTGTCATTTTACTCTCTTAATCCCTATTCTGCAAACCATTTAAAAAAGCTCATTAAGTTGATTATCCACTGCTTTCCTCTATCCCTTTTACCCTGTGAGAGTCAAATTTTCCAATCCCTCTTTCTTCACTGAGCCATAGAAATTTCAATAAAATTTGATGCTGCATATGTGTCCTTTTTGTTTGAATTTCTCATGTGTTCAGTCCATGGTAGTCTCACCATGCTTCTGTAGAACCACATTTCTGTTACCTCAAGTCTCTTTTCCATCTGCGAGATGGTCCAACATTCATTCTCTAGGAGTACCATAACTGTTCAGTACTCTTATTTGTTTCCAATGAAATTTTCCTGTTTCTAAGTACTTTGCTTAAGTTTTGAAAGACATTTTGCTACCCCAATGTACCATCAAATTTCAGTGTCACATTTTCTATCCTCTGTTAAAATATTTTCCAGATATTTAAATCAATGTATTTGTTTGATTTTGATATTTCCAATTTGTAACTCG